CACTTGCCGGGGAGCAGCTGGGCCCGTGAGCCATGGCCGCTTAGCCTGCGTGTCCAGAGCCTGTGCTCCACAATGGGGGAGAGGCCACAACAGTGAGAGGCCCGCAAAAAAAAAAAAAAAAAAAAAAAAAAAAAAGGTAGACTTAAATGTACAGAAATGGAAAGATCTCCCAGACATATTGTTAAATGAAAAAATAAATCATAGAACAATATCAAACAAATAAGAATATATATAGGGACTTCCCTGGTGGCGCAGTGGTTAAGAATCCACCTGCCAATGCAGGGGACATGGGTTCGAGCCCTGGTCCGGGAAGATCCCACATGCCATGGAGCAACTAAGCCCATGTGCCACAACTACTGAGCCTGCACTCTAGAGCCCACAAGCCACAACTACTGAGCCCGAGTGCCACCACTACTGAAGCCCACATGCCTAGAGCCCATGCTCCGCAACAAGAGAGGCCACCACATGTACCGAAACGAAGAGTAGCCCCCGCTCACTGCAACTAGAGAAAGCCCGTGTGCAGCCAAAAATATAAATAAATAAATAAATTTATTTAAAAAAAAAGAATATATATAAATATGCATAAATAGCTAAGGCACAAAAAAATATATGAAAGGATATGTACTGAACTATTATAGCAGCTTCCTCTGAAAGTGAAAATGGGATTGAGGGTACAGGCAGGTTGGGAGGCAGGAAACCATAGCATTTCTAGATTGTCTGAATAAGGTTATAATGAGTATATATTTATGTATTGCTTTTAAATTTTTAAAACAAATGTCTTAAGTTATTGTGGTATTAAAAATATTTTCATAAATGGGTGTTATATAATATTCTACAAGTTGGCAGGCAGATTCTACAAGTTATAAAAATTCCACTCTTCAGATTCAGGTGGCACTTTAACACTGAGAAATCTGGAATATATGTAAAGATGACATAATCAACCTAAATTCTAATGCTCAGTTATCGGTTAGCTAAGGGACAAGAGAATATGGACAGAATAACAAATCTATCATCAGCATGAGAAACAACTTTAAGTGTTGAATTGTTATTAGAAAGGGAAACACTGTTGTCCTATGTAATTACTACTAAATGACATAAGTCTAATCAATATTTCTTGCCGTTAACACTTACCCTCTCCCGTCCAATTGGCAGTGGATGTGCTGTGTACATGTTTCTTTTGCCATCATAGCCAGGCTGCCGATCACCAAATACCTGCATCTTGAAGTGCCGCACCATTGTATCTACTACGTCCCTTAACAGTAATGGAGATAGTGTAGGTTAGCTCTGAGAAGCGGTGGTGAACAGTAAGGAAACTATCACCATACCTTAATCATCTAAATTCAGTTCAAAACTCCTTGGAAAAAGTAAGAGTTAAACTTACGACTGACTCAAGTAATTAGAAAAATAGTTAGCTAAAGAAAGGTAGGCAAGTGAACAAAAGCAATTATGAGATGACAACAGAAAGGAGGGAATAAAAGGAAAAAGAGAATAAACTTTATAGCATCCTCTCAAATTCTTGCTTTCCAAAATCCTCTCCTATGATAAATAGAGCCTTATAAGAATAACCTGTCTTAGGTATCTAAGTTTGGCATGTTCATAACTGAACAATGATAAGTGTGTTATCAAATAATCATCCTTATTCAAGTATACTCGTTTTGGAAAAGAGAGTGAGCAGAATTCAGAAATCTGGGGATCAATAAATCTAAGATGCATTAAAATCAAAGGACTAAGTCAACCCCTTTGATAATGCTAGAAATTTATTATTCTTCATACTGTCTTGTTATATTCCAAACTGCTTCCAAGCAGTATAGAAAAGGGAATGTCGTAAAATATCCTCATTCTGTAAAGATTACCAATGTAGTTTCTTTCTGTTTAGAAAGAAAGCCTTTCTCTCAGTAGAGCATGAATAGCTTTATTTAAGTGTTTCTGCATATATGCCGGATCACACTGTATGCAGGCTCTGAAACAAATGCAGCTGTGGGGGAACCAGAGTCTACAGCTTATGATGGACAGATCCGGTTCTGTACAATTTTGGAATGCTAGTGTCAATGAAAAGTCAGGTGCTATGTCTTACCAACATTAATGAGCCCCATGCAGGGGAACTGTACCTTAAAATACATCACAACTAGCTAAGGCATTAATATTACTACAAATGAAATCTGTGGGAAAGTCATATGTTTTCAAACCAAATCATGCAACTGAAAAAAGCTGATGGAGAAATATAGTCTCATACATTCCCAATTTTAAAAAGCTGACTTAAGAATAGTATATTTGGGGCTTCCCTGGTGGTGCAGTGGTTGAGAATCTGCCTGCCAATGCAGGGTACACGGGTTCGAGCCCTGGTCTGGGAAGATCCCACATGCCGCGAAGCAACTGGATCTGTGAGCCACAACTACTGAGCATGCGCGTCTGGAGCCTGTGGTCCGCAACAAGAGAGGCCACGCCAGTGAAAGGCCCACGCACTGCGATGAAGAGTGGCCCGCACTCGCCGCAACTAGAGAAAGCCCTCGCACAGAAACGAAGACCCAATACAGCCAAAAATAATAAATAAATAAATTAAAAAAAATTTAATAAATAAATACGGGCTGTTGTTAACTGACAAGAGGCTTGTGCTTATTTATATATATATAAAAAAAAGAACAGTATATTTTCAGACTGGAAGGGTAATTTCTTATCTTACTTTCTTAAAATGTAACCATAAAGTTTTACAGTAAAAAACATATTTTCACCTCTATTCTCATTTAACCTTCAAAACAACCTTGTGAGACAAGCAGGGCAATAATTATTGAATTCAGAATGGGCAAGTAAACTGCCCCTGGTCACACAATGATTAAGTGGCAGAGCTGTATGACGTTGGACAAGTTACTTAATCTCTCACATCTGTTTCTTCATGTGTAAAATTATGGTAACACCCACCACAAAAGTTGTCGTATTAAGTGAATAAACAGACACAGAATATTTAGAACAGTGCTTGTCATGCAATAAGCCTACTGCTTGCAGGACATTTGGTCCTGTCCAAAACATTCATAAGACATTTGGTCCATCCTAAAAGGTCCTTGATATTTGGTCATATTTGGTCCTGTCCAAAATGTCCATGGAGACATTTGGTCCACACCAAAAGGTCCTTGATATTCACTTCTGTCCAAAACAAAAATTTGGCATGGGCCAAATACGCTCATGGACATTTTGAATAGGACCAAATTTCAGGGACATTTTGACTTAGACCAAATGTCTTGTGGATGTTTTGGACAAGACTAAATGGCTGCTAACTAGCCTACTTAACTCTGGTATGCTCAAGGATAACACTCCAGGAATCTTTCTCTCTCCTGAATCATCAAATTTTTCCACTCTACTGAATTACTACCTTCAGCAAATAAATATGCTATAATTTCTTCATCTTAAAAAAAAATTGAAATTTCCTGATCCCACTTCCTCCTCGTCTGAACATTCCACTTCTCTGCTCCCCACTGCATCAAAATCCCTTGACAGAGCTGTCTCTAATTGCTCTTCTTTCTCTCTTCAATCTTCTCTAGTGAGGCTTTTCTTCCACCAAAGCTACTCTTATCAAGGTCCCCAGTGAGCTCCACATTGTGAAATTCAATGCTCCTCGAACATTAGACTATCAATTCTTTCAGCTTAAAACATCTTCTGCCCTTGCCTCCTCACTCTGCCCTGGTTATCTCTCATCCCAGTGGCCTCTCCATGCCAGTCTCCTTGCTGGTTCTTCCTCATCTCCCCATTTGTAAGTATTGAGTTACCTCAGGACTCAGTCTTAAAATCTTATTTTCTTTAACCACACTCACTTCCTACATGATCTCACCCAATCTTATGGCTTTACCACCAATATCCCGATGATTTTCAAATGTTTGTCTCCAGCCTGGACCTTTCTGCTGAGTCCAACCTCATGTATCCAACTTCCTGCTCAACATCTTCACTGGGATGTCCAATAGACATCTCAATCCTAACACGGTCAAAAAACAGATCTCCTGATCTGTCAACCCTGTTGGCCTCTCCCACAGTTTCCCCATCGCGATAAATGGCAACTCCATCTTTCCATCCACTCAGGACAAAAACCCTGGAATCAATGATGATTCATTTCTTTCATACCTCCTGTTCAATCCATCAACAAATCTTGCTGACACTACCTTTAAAATATTTGTAGTCTCTGACCAGTTTTTTTTTGTTTTGTTTTGTTTTTGCGGTACGCGGGCCTCTCACTATTGTGGCCTCTCCTGTTGCGGAGCACAGGCTCCGGACGCGCAGGCTCAGCGGCCATGGCTCATGGGCCCAGCTGCTCCGCGGCATGCGGGATCTTCCCGGACCGGGGCACGAACCAGTGTCCCCTGCAACGGCAGGCGGACTCTCAACCACTGCGCCACCAGGGGAGCCCTCTGACCAGTTTTTATCACTATCACTTTTACTACCCAAGTTCAAGCCACCATCATTTTCCATCTGAATCATTACACATGCCTCCTAATTGATTTCCCTGCTTTTCACCCTTACCTGCTAGGGTTCGTTTTCAACACAGCAGCCAAAATGATCCATTAAAAATCTAAGTTAGTCATATCAAATGTCTACTCAAAACCCATCTAATCAGAGTAAACACTAAAGTTCTATGACCACCTACAAGACTCTGCATGTTAGGGCCCTTTGGAGTTTCTCTATCACTCTCCCCCTCACTCACTCCAGCAATGCAGGCTTTATCTGCTATTCCTTGAATATACCATGCAAGCTGCTGCCTCTGCCTGGGACTCTCGTCATGTAGATATCCCTCACCTCCTCTAGGTTTCTCCTCAAATGTCACTTTTCAGTGAGATCTTCCCTAACTATACTATTAAAATATTACATTATGTGTGTGCGCGTACCCATATATATACACACACGTGCGTTCACACAAACATCTTACATAATATATATGTAACATATATACAAAATATATACGTATTTACAGTATACATAAATACTATATATACTATATGTATGTGTGTGTGTATATATATACATACATATATATATATATATATATGTAAAATCAGTGGCCCATCCTCCATCACTATCTTCCATCCCTGTTTTATTTTTCTTCACAACAGTTATCATCAACTAACAAATAATATGTTTTCTTTGCTTATTCATTTATTTTTGGACTTTTCCCCCATTAGAATATAAGTTCCTCAAGGGTAGGAACTTTTGCCTGTTTGTTCATGTTGTATTCCCAGAACATAGAACAATACCTGATACACAATGAGCACCCAACAGAATATATGTCAAATGGATCAATATTAGCCATTGCCACCGCTTCTGTTATTATTGATTTCAGTTATACAACAGCCAAACAATTAAGGGCTTGCATGAGACTGAACAATACCAGAAAGCCAAATAATTGATCTATAATGAGAAAAAAAAACCAAGCCACAAAGAAATACTTCACTTTACAGCAAAAGCATCCTTGGAAAGGCAAGAACTATAATATTAAGGACTGCCTGAATACCACAGCGTGAAAACAGAGAAAAGTAAAGTGGGTGATCTCAGCACACTGTAAAAATATCTGCTATAGGGCTATATTCACTATTGGTAAGTTACTGTCATACAGATCACAGCGCTTAAATCATCTTATCTAGACCCCTCTTGGATAATGTTAGAATTAAACAGAGCTTCTCAGTTTATGTTCTTCAATACCTCAAGATGATTCTTCTGTCTTTACACTTACAGTTTTCTCACGTCCAATACCAACACATGATAATAAAATTTGAATTTCCACATAGTTCTATTTTCTATAGACACCAGTCGCTTCACCTATTTTTACAAATTTCTGCTACCTTTGGACAGTGAAAGAGTGACCTTCCTTCTTCATTCATTAAGTATTTACTGACTGAACAATGATGTATCCTGCATTCTGCTAGAATCTGTGGAGGACAACCAAGTATGAGACAGAAAACCTGCTATTAAGAAACTTAACATCTTAGAGAAAATAAAAAGCCTACATGTTAAAAGAGTTTAGAGAACAATACGATTCATGATAAATAAATTACATATATTTAAATGTATAAGAGGGGACGAGGGGAAGATGGCGGAAGAGTAAGACGTGGAGATCACCTTCCTCCCAACAGATACACCAGAAATACATCTACACGTGGAACAACTCCTACAGAACACCTACTGAACTCTAGCAGAAGACCTCAGACCTCCCCAAAGGCAAGAAACTCCCCACGTACCTGGGTAGGGCAAAAGAAAAAAGAATAAACAGAGACAAAA